CACACACACACACACACACACACACACACACACACACACACACACACTTCCGCTCTACTACACAACCCTCCCGGAACTGGATGTTCAACATTTCCTAGCAATTATCGGTTCCATACATTTGTTACCATATTATTATTATGATTCGTAAAACAATTTAGCAAAAATACTGTTTGTATAGTGTTTAACAGCTTACAAAGCACCTTTCATACCAGCTGTGTAAAAAAGAATATATTAGACTAATTTTACTGATGAGAAACGAAGGTTCTAAGAGATTAGGTAAACTGCCCAAGGTCCAGAGTGAATGAGTAGTAAACTGGGACTCCAACCTGGTCCTTCTGAGATTTCAAATGTGGTGCTCTTCCCATTCCACACTGCCTACCCATGTGAGCAAAGGTCAATAAATAATCCCCAGGAGCTGAGTGTCACTGTCTGTTAAATAAGGGTGGCAAGATGGGGAGGAATTGGATTAGATGATTTCCAAAATTCTTTTCCACTCTCAAGGGCTGTGTTCATAATTCTAGATATGCTATTTGAGAATTCAAGCGCTTCATGGAGTTCAGTCTCCTATTCCTCAAAACAGTGACCAAAACGCTAATCCACATTAATTAGGCAGCTAATTTTGTAATAATGCCACCCTTTTCCCATCTCCTAGGTCCTTCAATACACAGCCTGAAAAAAACTAAAAACCCTAAACCTTATCACTTGCTTTCTTACCTCCGTGTACCCCATGCTGGCTGCAGCAATGAGGGCCTGCTGGATGGCATGGCTCTTCTTAAATACTCCTTGCTGCTGGCCAGCCATCGTCCAGTCACACTGAATCAAAAACTTGACAACCTCCAGGTGACCTCGGAGTGCAGCATGGACCAAAGCACACTGCCCATTCTTGTCCAAATGATCCACCTAAGAGGAAGGACAGAGAAATGTATGTGAACAAAGATTTGTGGCCATGCTAATCCAGTCACATTGGTCCACTGCACATGACTAGAGAGAGTCATCCCTTCCCATACCCTGAATCAATCTCTGAGAAAATCTAGAAAATTCTCTCCTACTCAGGCTAGATCACTGCTGAGCTTGAACTCTGGTAGACGCCCCTCAGGGGAGAACCTCTTTTCATAAGGTCAGGCTTTTGTTTTCACAGAAAAAGGAACCAAAAACCCAAAACTCCCAGCTCCAGCTCTGTTTTCCTGAGGTATATTCTCCTTTGTCCTCAAACAGTTCTTTTCAGACCAAGATTTGAAAGACTTGTAGCTCTGCTGGCACAAAAGAACTGTCTTTGAAATCATGAAAGGGAAGAAAAACATTTTGAAGCTCAAATTTTTTGGTCTTCCAAAGAAGCGAAATACCTCATATCATGAATCATACTTCTGACCACCAAGCTTTGGTGAAGGCTACTTTTTTCTTCCAGTGGGAGGGCAGAATCTCAAATATCTGGGCAACATGGCCAGAGGTACTTGGAGCTTAATGCTAGACTACGTTCCAATAGTGGCTTTTATGGTTGCAGTGTTGGTTGAAAGAAGAGGCTGGTTAAGATCGATCTACCAGAAGGAAGCCACAAGGTTCACCAGAAGAGTAGACTTTTCTGGCAGGTAGGTTTCCAGGGGTAGTCAGAATACTTGAAACATATAAGTTCTGCATCTGGTTCTCCCCAGCTTTAGTTCCACCAGCAATCTATTTTTTTTTCAACTTTTCTTTTTATTATGTTATGTTAATCACCATACATTACATAGTTAGTTTGTGATGTAGTGTTCCATGATTCATTGTTTGAGTATAACACCCAGTGCTCCATTCAATACATGCCCTCTTTAATACCCATCACCAGGCTAACCCATCCCCCCACCCTCCTCCCCTCTAGAACCCTCAGTTTGTTTTTCAGAGTCCACCGTCTCATGGTTCATCTCCCCCTCCGATTTCCCCCGCTTCATTCTTCCCCTCCTGTTTTTTTTTTAAACATATAATGTATTATTTGTTTCAGAGGTATAGACCTGTGATTCAACAGTCTTGCACAATTCACAGCGCTCACCGTAG